GCCCCACCCCTCGCCCCCCACCCCCCCCCAGCCCCCCCTTCCCTCACCCCACAGCCCTCCTGCCTCTCCCCGTCCTCACCGACCCTTCCCGGCTCCCTGAGGGGGTCTCGGCACCCCAAATTGCCCCAAAATTGGCCAAATTTGCCCCAAATTCCCCCCAGTCCGCCCCCCAACCCTCACGCTGCGCCGCTGCTCCACCAGAGGGGGGAGCCTCCCGCGCGCGCGTTCAAACCGCGGCTGCAGCCAATCAGCGCGCGGTACCGCCCTCGGCGCCCAATCAGCGCGCGGCACCCTCACGCAGCGTCCAATCAGTGTGCGGCACCCTCACGCAGCGACCAATCAGCGCACGGCACCTCCCCGCCGCGGGACCTCACGGGAGTTGTAGTCCGCGCTGGGGCATGCGCGGTTCTGGGCAATGGTGGGCGGGGTCAGCGCGGTGGGCGTGGCCTGGGGGAAGGCGGGGGTTTGGGGTGGTGACGTCACGCGGTGTCACACGGTGTCCCCTCAGTGTCACACGGTGTCACACGGTGTCACAGAGTGTCCCATAATGTCCCTCAGGGTCCCCGTGTCCCCTCGGGGGTGGCACCGTGTCCCTCAGTGTCCCTCTGTCCCCTCCATGTCCCCGTGTCCCTCTGTCCTTGTGTCCCTCAGTGTCCCTCACTGTCCCCTCTCTGTCCCCATGTCCGTCTGTCCTTGTGTCCGTCTGTCTGTCTGTCCCCTCTCTGTCCCTCAGTGTCCCCTCTCTGTCCCCCTGTCCCCTGTCCCTCTGTCCCTCTGTCTCTCTGTCCCCCTGTCCCCTCTCTGCCCCTCTGTCCCTCTGTCCCTCTGTCCCTCTGTCCCTCTGTCCCTGTGTCCCCTCTCTGTCCCCCTGTCCCTCTGTCCCCTGTCCCTCTGTCCCTCTGTCCCTCTGTGTCCCCTGTCCCCTCAGTGTCCCCCTGTCCCCTCTCTGCCCCTCTGTCCCTCTGTCCCCTCTCTGTCCCTCTGTCCCTCTGTCCCCCTGTCCCTCTGTCCCTCTGTCCCCGTGCGCTGCAGTTCCCGCCTCTGCCGCCAGGCGGAGCTTTTGGGGCGCCCCCAAGAACAGAGGCCGGAATTGAGCGGATAAAATTTAAATAAACTGAAATAAATGAAAGTGTAAATCAATTAAATGAAAATGTAAATCAATTAAAATAAATGAAAATGTAAATCGATTAAAATAAACGAAAATGTAAATAAATTAAATGAAAATGTAAGTAAATTAAAATAAATGAAAATGTAAACAATTAAAAATGTAAATAAATTAAAATAAATGAAAATGTAAATAAATTAAAATTATTCCTATCGACTGAAGCGCCTCCAGGCACATTCCAGACAGGCAATGTTTAATTTAATTTAATTTAGGATCCATTCTCACCCTAATATCTCCCATTTAGTTCAATTTAATTTAATTTAATTTAACCTAATTTGATTTAATGTAATTTAATTAATCTAGGATCCATTCCCACCCCAATACCCCCCATTTAATTTAATTTAACCTAATTTGATTTAATGTAATTTAATTAATCTAGGATCCATTCCCACCCCAATACCCCCCATTTAATTTAATTTAACCTAATTTGATTTAATGTAATTTAATTAATCTAGGATCCATTCCCACCCCAATATCTCCCATTTATTTTAATTTAACTGAATTTAATTTAGGATCCATTCCCACCCCAAAATCTCAAAGGTTCCTTCCCAGGAGATCTCCAAGGTCCCTTCCAACCATTCCAGATTTGAGACTCAAACCAGGACACCTCCAAGGTTCCTTCCAAGGAGACCTCCAAGATCCCTTCCTTGGAGACCCCCAAGGTCCCTTCCCAGGACACCTCCAAGGTTCCTTCCCAGGAGATCTCCAAGGTTCCTTCCCAGGACACCTCCAAGGTCCCTTCCCAGGAGACCCCCAAGGTCCCTTCCCAGGACACCTCCAAGGTTCCTTCCCAGGAGATCTCCAAGGTCCCTTCCAACCATTCCAGGTTTGAGACTCAAACCAGGACACCTCCAAGGTCCCTTCCCAGGAGATCTCCAAGATCCCTTCCCAGGACACCTCCAAGGTTCCTTCCTGGGAGACCTCCACAGTCCCTTCCAACCCTTCCACCGCCCCAGGTGCCCTCAGTGGAGGTCAGCTCCTGCTCCTGGCGCCGTGGCCACGCTCGCTCTGCTCCGCGCCACCATCCCGACCGTTCCACCCGTCTGGGCCTTCTCGAACTTGGATGAGTTGGAAACCCACCCAAAACCTCGCTGGGTCCTCTCGAACTTGGAATTTGGAAACCCACCCAAAACCTCGCTGGGCCTTCTCAAACTTGGACGAGTTGGAAACCCACCCAAGACCTCGCTGGGCCTTCTCGAATTTGGGCGAGTTGGAAACCCACCCAAGACCTCACTGGGCCTTCTCCAACTTGGAATTTGGAAACCCACCCAAGACCTCGCTGGGTCTTCTTGAACTTGGAATTTGGAAACCCACCCAAAACCTCTCTGGGTCTTCTCAAATTTGGGCGAGTTGGAAACCCACCCAAGACCTCGCTGGGCCTTCTCCAACTTGGAATTTGGAAACCCACCCAAGACCTGCTCCGCTGTTGGCCGGGGGAGCGGGCCCGGCACATTCGCGGGGTCCAACGCCGGCGGCTGAGACGAGGGGGTTTGGGATGGATTTTGGAGTTACAGATGTGCTCTGGAGGTCACAGAGCCTCCATGAGGAGGATTCTGAAAATCGTTAAAAATCTCCCCTCCTAATGACAAAATTTGGGAAGATTTCTGAAATTAAAGCCATGGAGAGCCTCCACCAGGAGGATTCTCCGAATTTCTGAAGATTCACCCCATCTTAATGACAAAATTTGGGAAGATTTCTGAAATTAAAGCTCTGTTCTGGAGGCCAGAGATCCTCCATGAGGAGGATGCTTCAAATCTTTAAAATTCTCCCCTCCTAATGACAAAATTTGGGAAGATTTCTGAAATTAAAGCCATGGAGAGCCTCCAGCAGGAGGATTCTTCAAATCCTTAAAGATTCTCCCTTCTTAATGACAAAATTTGGGAAGATTTCTGAAATTAAAGCCATGGAGAACCTCCAGCAAGAGGATTCTGAAAATTCTCCCCTGCTAATGACAAAATTTGGGGACATTTCTGGAGTTAAAGTCCAGCTCTGGAGGCCGGAATTGGGATTGGGGATTGGAATTGGGATTGGAATTGGGATTGGAATTGGGATTTGGGAGTGGAATTGGGATTGGGGTTGGAGGTGGGATTGGGAATTGGTTTTGGGGTGCGGGGTCAGGCTGGGGGGCACAGGGATTTTGGGGTGCAAGGTGGGAGGGGACAGGGTCGGGGGTTTTGGGGTGCGGGGTGCAGGGGATGGGAGCACAGGGATGCGGAGATTGAGGTACAAAGATCCTGGGGTGCAGGGGATTTGGGGTACGGGGATGTGGGGGTGCAGGGGATGGGGGCACAGGAATGCAGGGGATTGGGGTACGGGGATCTCGGGGTGCCAGGGATGGGGCTACTGGGATGTGGGGGTGCAGGGGATTGGGGCACACGGATCCTGGGGTGCAGAGGATTGGGGCACACGGATCCCGGGGTGCAGAGGATTGGGGCACACGGATCCCGGGGTGCAGGGGATTTGGGGTACAGGGATTCTGGGGTGCAGGGGATTGGGGCACACGGATCCTGGGGTGCAGAGGATTGGGGCACACGGATCCTGGGGTGCAGGGGATTTGGGGTACGGGGATCCCGGGGTGCTCAGGGGCTCCGGTGCCGCGGCTGCCGGGGATCCCGGGCTCCGCTCGGTGTCTGCCGGGGATGTTTGTGGCTCTCTCCGGGCCGGATCCCGGGGGTCTGCTCGGTGTCCGCCGGGGATGTTTGGGGGTCTCTCCGGGACGGATCCCGGGGCTCCACTCGGTGTCTGCCGGGGATGTTTGGGGCTCTCTCCGGGCTGGATCCGGGGCCGGGGATGTTTGTGGCTCTCTCCGGGCCGGATCCCGGGCTCCGCTCGCCCCCCGCCATCCCCCGCTCCGCCCCGCCGCGCCTCGGGGGCGGGCTGCGGGGCCGGTGGGCGGTGGGAGGCGGGGGGCAGCCCCAAGCCAGGCCCCGGCCGCGGCCCCGGCCCCGGCCCCGGCCCCAGCCCGGCCCCAGCCCCCGCCGCCCGCCCGGGGCCGCCGCGCCGCCCCGCATTGTCCGGGCGGCAGCGCAGGATGCGGCGCCCGGTTCGGCCTCCCGGGCTGCGCTAACGGCCCCGCCGGCATGAGGAGGTGAGTGCGGGCCGGGCCGGGCCGGGCCACCCCGGGGACACCCCGCGGACACCCCGCGGACACCCCGCGGACACCCCGCGGATGCGGCCCGGCCCGGCCGAGCATCCCCGGCGGCGCCGCGGGCGGAGCATCCCGAGAAGCGGCGAGCTCCGGGCGAAGCTCCGGCGAAACCGAGCGGGACCGCGGAGCCGCCAACGGGGAATTTTGGGGGTGCCTCAGCCCGCGGCCACCCCATTCCTCCTCCTTTTCCCCCCCAAAAAAAAATCTGCGCGTCCCGGGAGGTGCGGGGCGCGGCGGGGGCTGAGCCGGCGCTGGGTTTTAAAGCCGAGCGCGGCTCGGAGGTTGCGCGCATCGCGCTGTCCGTGTGTCCGTCCGTCCGTCCGTGCGGACATCCATCAGCCCTCCCCGGCTCCCCTCCCTCACCCCGGGAACAATGCCGCCTCCGCCGCCGCACGTCAAGCGCACGCCGGAGCGCTCGCCTTCAAAACACTCGCGCCCCTGAGGGGCTTTCAGCGGAATATTTCCCCGAAAATTCCTTTTTTTTTTTTTGGGGTGGTTTCGTTCTTTTTTAATTTTTTTGTTAGAAGCGGGAGTTTTTCACTCCGGGGGGGGGATAACATGGGGGTGGGTTTAAAAAAATCGCTTTACGCTGTCGAGAAATCCGCCTGGGTTTGGAGGCGCCATGTGCCGCTTCACGTCGCTCCCGGCACCCCAAAATTGACTCCGGCACCCCAAAATTGACTACGGAACCCCAAAACTGACTCCGGCATCCCAAAATTGACTCCGGCACCCCAAAATTGACTCCGGAACCCCAAAATTGACTACGGAACCCCAAAATTGACTCCGGTATCCCAAAATTGACTCCGGAACCCCAAAATTGACTCCGGAACCCCAAAATTTACACCAGTATCCCAAAATTGACTCCGGCATCCCAAAATTGACTCCGGAACCCCAAAATTTACACCGGCACCCCAAAATTTACTCCGGCACCCCAAAATTTACTCCGGAACCCCAAAATTTACACCGGCACCCCAAAATTTACACCGGTATCCCAAAATTGACTCCGGCGCTCCAAAATTTACACCGGTATCCCAAAATTTACTCCGGAACCCCAAAATTGACTCCGGCGCTCCAAAATTTACACCGGTATCCCAAAATTTACTCCGGTATCCCAAAATTGACTCCGGAACCCCAAAACTGACTCCGGCATCCCAAAATTGACTCCGGCATCCCAAAATTGACTACAGAACCCCAAAATTGACTCCGGCATCCCAAAATTTTCCATCCCCGGCTGCTTTTGGGACAGAATTTCGGGCGTGGAAAGTGAATTTTTGGACAGAATTTGGGGGTTTGACGAGGACGTGGCTCTGATGGCTCCGGCTGGATTTCCTGGTGGGAATTTTGAGGAGGTTTTTGGGAATTTGGAGGAGGTTTTTGGGAATTTTGAGGTTTATATTTTGTTTTTCTTTTTTTATCTTTTTCTTTTTAATATTTTATTTTTTTTTTTCTCTTTTATTTTATTTTATTTTATTATCTTTTCTTTTTATTTAACCTGGTGGATTTTGGGGGTTTTTGGGGGAGCGGCCACCGGCTCTTTCCCCAAATTCCTCTGCAGCAGGGAAGGGAAAAACCTCTGGAATTCCTGGAGAAGGGAAGGGAAAAAAACCTCTGGAATTCCTGGAGAAGGGAAGGGAAGAAACCTCTGGAATTTCTGGAACAGGGAAGGGAAAAACCTCTGGAATTCCTGGAGCAGGGAAGGGAAAAAACCCTCTGGAATTTCTGGAACAGGGAAGGGAAAAACCTCTGGAATTCCTGGAGCAGGGAAGGGAAAAAACCCTCTGGAATTTCTGGAACAGGGAAGGGAAAAACCTCTGGAATTCCTGGAGCAGGGAAGGGAAAAAACCCTCTGGAATTTCTGGAACAGGGAAGGGAAAAACCTCTGGAATTCCTGGAGCAGGGAAGGGAAAAACCCTCTGGAATTCGTGGAGCAGGGAAGGGAAAAAACCTCTGGAATTTCTGGAGAAAGGAAAGGAAAAAAACTCTGGAATTCCTGGAAATAAAAAAGGATTTCAGCCTCTGGAATTCCTGGAGCAGGAAAAGGATTTCAGCTTTTCCATTTGGGAATTCCCAGAGCAGGAAAGGGATTTCAGCCTCTGGAATTCCTGGAGCAGGGAAAGGAAAAAAACCTTTGGAATTCCTGGAGCAGGGAAAGGATTTCAGCTTTTCCAGTTGGGAATTCCTGGAAATAAAAAAGGATTTCAGCCTCTGGAATTCCTGGAGCAGGGAAAGGATTTCAGCTTTTCCATTTGGGAATTCCCAGAGCAGGAAAGGGATTTCAGCCTCTGGAATTCCTGGAAGAAAAAATGGATTTCAGCCTCTGGAATTCCTGGAGCAGGGAAAGTATTTCAGCTTTTCCAGTTGGGAATTCCTGGAAATAAAAAAGGATTTCAGCCTCTGGAATTCCTGGAGCAGGGAAGGGATTTCAGCTTTTTTCCATTTGGGAATTCCTGGAAATAAAAAAGGATTTCAGCCTCTGGAATTCCTGGAGCAGGGAAGGGATTTCAGCTTTTTTCCAGCTGGGAATTCCTGGTGCAGAGGCAGCTGGGAGTCAGCTCCAGCTCTCCCCAGTCCAGCAATTCCCAGCTCTGAAAATCGATTGATCCCCTTGCAAATTCTGCCACGCTGATTCCGGGAATTTCGGATTTCCCTTCGGAATTGGCTCACGAGAGAATTCCCTCCTTTTTTCTCCGGACTCCTGAGTGGGATCCTGGATCTTTTCCTGGCCCAGAGGCTGCCCGGGAGCTGGGAGTCAGTGCCAGCAATTCCCAGCTCTGAAAATCGATTGATCCCCTTGCAAATTCTGCCACGGTGATTCCGGGAATTTCGGATTTCCCTTCGGAATTGGCCCATCGAGGCATTTTCCTCTTTTTATTCCCGACTCCTGAGCGGGATCCTGGATCTTTTCCTGCCCAGGATGAGCCGGAGTCAGCTCCAGCTCTGAAGTTTCTCTTTGCTGGTTTTCCAGCTGAGGGTCCCCTGGCGTCGTGTCCCAGTTCAGCCAGTCCCGATGTCCCCAAAATCGGCGCTGGGGCAGCCCCAGATCTTTGTGGTGGCGCTGGCACGGAGGATGCCCAGCAGAGGTTTTGCCCCTGAGCTGCCCCTGAGCTGGGCAAGGGCAGAAATGTTCCTTTGGTGCCAGGGGTGCCAACCCTGGAGCAGGATGTTGGGGTGTCCCAGAGCAGGATGTTGGGGTGTCCCAGACAGGATTTTGGGGTGTCCCTGGAGCAGGATTTTGGGGTGACCTTCCTGGAGCAGGATGTTGGGGTGTCCCAGACAGGATTTTGGGGTGTCCCAGAGCAGGATGTTGGGGTGTCCTCCCCAGACAGGATGTTGGGGTGTCACAGACAGGATTTTGGGGTGTCCCTGGAGCAGGATTTTGGGGTGACCTCCCTGGAGCAGGATTTTGGGATGTTTCTGGAGCAGGATTTTGGGGTGTCCCAGAGCAGGATTTTGGGATGTGTTTCTGGACCAGGATTTTGCACTGTCTTCCCCAGACAGGATTTTGGGATGTTTCTGGACAAGGATTTTGGGGTGTCCCAGAGCAGGATGTTGGGGTGTCCCTGGAGCAGGATTTTGGGGTGTCCTCCCCAGACAGGATTTTGGGATGTTTCTGGAGCAGGATTTTGGGGTCACGGGTGGGTTGTGTCACTCCGGGTGTCACAGGTGGGTTGTGTCACT